AAGTAGTTCCCCAGATGATTTAATGCTACAGCTTCCACGAGAAGGATTTGGGAATCGTTATAGACAATAAATTGTGCGACAATGTGCGATCAGCAGCTGCTTAGGCCAGTAAGGTATTGTCATGTAGAAAAATGTGAATTCATTCAGGATGAAAATATAATTTTTCTTTTTATAAATCGATCACCTGTTCTATAGAAGGATATTATGGCACTCGAAAAATCTGCCTCAGAGAGAGTATGATAGCAATATACTAATATTTTTGGGGGCCAATACAAAACATTGTTTGGAAATCTATTCATAACCAGGACTATACATAGGGCACGAGGTAACAAATTTAGACTAGAAGAAAGGAAATTTAGTCTAAGGCAAAGTAAATAATTTTTTACGGTAATAACAAAAAGGATGTGGAATTCTCTGCCTGGTGGTTTTACCAGAGCCTGTACAGATGTTTAAACAACAACTGGATGAATACTTGCAAAAACATAATATTAGTGCATATATTTTTGAATTTTTCATTAATTGTGAGGTAATAGCTTCTTGATCCAAATCTAACTGCCATTTATGGCTCAAGAAGGAATTAGTGTATAGGTAACAATATATAACTATGTACTATAGTTACATTTAGTAAAATGTAACTAAAATGTAACATATAGTTTCATTTCAGTACCAAAACAACTTTAGCTTAGTGAACACCTCCCTGCATGTGACTTAGACAGCCTTCCTAAACACGTCCTGTAAAGAGTCATCTAATGTTTCAACTTTCTTATTGAACACTCTGTTTAATTCAGAATATTTTGTCTCCAGCTCTGTTCATAGCCTTCTAGACCCTGCAGGAGCATCCTGGGTGTGATTAAAGTTCAATTTACAGTGCAATAGACAAGAACTTCTGATTGAAAATGAAATTATTTTTTCATGCAAACCATGTGAGTCACATCCAGCAGAGGTGTGGCTAGAGCTGAATAAACAGAACCAAAATTTACTTAACTCCTAAATGGCAGAGAATTGAATAGTGAGACTGCAGGGGTATGATCTGTACATCAAAACTGCCTTATTAAGCCAAAGTTATATTTGTGCCTATAGTATCCCTTTAAGGTCAAAATAGTCAAATTGAAAAAAGTCCGTAAGTCTGGTATGCTATCAGTTCAACTTCTCCGGCTTCCAATTTGAAATTCACTTTAAATTCTCACTTGATAAAATAACCCTGTAGATCACAGACAGAACTTCCGATGGTGCAGCATGAACCATACACTTAGGGCCACCTGATGCGTATTGCTGAACAGCACATCTGAGTCCCTATAGTATCGGCGATGCTGGGAGTAAGTGAGAGAAGGTCACTTCCTCCTACATGCAGAGGGAGCTGTGCAGGAGGCAGAGGAGGTGGCACAGCGGGATGACCAAGGGGAGAGAGCCATCTCCAGCCCTCACTCCCATCAGCCTCAGCCAGCATCAGCAGGAGCCCAAGTAGGCCACATTCCTGCACACAAAAGGTATGTTAATTGAGGGTGTCTAAAATATTAAAAGTCTGACATATATGTGTGTATCTATCTATGTGTGTGTCATTTTGTGTGTGTGTATCAGTGTGTATCTGTGTGTTAGCATATGTCAGTGTGTGTATCTGAATGTGTGTATGGTTCAGTGTATGTACCTGTGTGTGTCAGTGTGTATCTGAATGTGTGTATGTATATATGTGTAAGTATGCATGTATGTGTGTATGTGCATACATCCCAGCAAACACCAGCACAACATACAAACACATTCTTGCAATCAATCATTACATACCCCTGCAGTTAAACTCCAAATTATATATAGACACCCCTATATTCAAACACCAACATTACTCACAAAAGCACACCTGCATGTGAAAGCCAACACTGCATACAAACACAATTGTGCATTGAAATGCAAACACTACACACAAATACACCACTGCATTCCAATGACAACAGTACATACAATTACACCCGTACACGCACAAACATAATCTATACAAAAACGTGTTTATATTCAAACACACAAACACTGCTCACAAATACAGCCCTGTAATGATGGGCAAAGTGTAAATCCCAAGCTGCCATAGCATTGTGGGAGTTCGACAGATGGGGGTCTAACTTTTGTTCACCCTTGTGCTAATGGGGGTGTGGGGGGGTACAAATAAATTCTTGCACCCAGGCCCTCATTACATTAGTTCTGCCACTTCTGTGGAAGCTGCCACCCAATCTGCAGTTCACTACAGTTAGGGACTAGACCTCATGGGTTTATTCAATAAACAGAGAATAATGGTTGATTGAAATCAACTGAAATGCAAAATTCAGATTAAAATAGCTGTTTTTATGAGATTCTTAAAAGACGTTATAGTAATTTTTTTTGCTATTTTAGCCTGATTTTTGTGACCTGGTTTTCAGTTCACCACTGACTGAAATTTAGTGAATAAACCACGTTTTAGGCCGTTTTTAAAATTTTATTTCATAGTTTTTAACATAGTGCTATCACGCCGGTCACTTTACAAAATATAGCAACTATTCATAAATTGAGTGACAAAGAGAGACAGAACCCTTGTTGTAGACTTAAATCTAAAAATTTTTGCATTTGTACATGACGTTCTATGTAAGAATGATGTGAGCTTACAGTATATTACACAAATACCTTTTTACATAGATTGGAGGCCAAGGTCACACTAGGCAGAAGGGACTATTGATCAATTTGGTCCGATAAGCGGATGAAGAGAGTGTTATGCATGTGTGAAACCGGTTTGTCATTATGTTACATAATGTGATGTCTTTCTGCCTGGGTTATTTACAAAACTCAGAATTGCAGCAAATTAAAACCTAAGTGGCAAATCTGTGGGCTAAAATACCTAAGCTGTGACTAGAGCGGACATTTTTCAGATTTACATTTGCACGCATTTAGTGGAGATTCCCTTTTAAGAAAAAAGTATGTACATTTTTATTTTTTTATGTTTTGTGTAGCAGCAAAATAATCCAGAACATTGTACAATTTGCAGAAGTCTGGTCACTATAAGAGAACATGTACATGATAGATGCCTATGAAGTTATTCATATTTATGTGACAGTAAGATTTCCACGCTGGCCTCTAGCTGTCACTGATGCAACAAATTGGTGATATAACAAGATGAAACCTAGGTAGTTAAGGTACGGTGGTCCTTGCTCCAGTGAGCTTACAGTATAAAGACATTGTATAGGTTAAAGGTTGAAGTGCTTTATGTGTGAAGATTGTGTCCTATTTTTTCATTTTATAAAAAATGCAGATTGCAATAGAAATTTGCACTTTTATAAATTAACCTCGTCACACCACTCTGCTGTCAATCAGACAACCAGTCCTCTTACTTCCTGGTTTGTTTAGCTCAGTGAAGCTAAACCCAAGAGGCACCTGAACACATGCCTTGCAAAGACTTCCCATTGACCTGTATAGGGAAGTCTGTGATTGGAGGGTTTGCAGAGATCTGAAGCTTTTGCAAGCTTTTTTTTATATATATTCCCAGTGAAAAATATGCATAATTTAATTTGGGGTATATCTATTATACAGTGAGTTTTATTTATTTTTGTATTTGGACAATGGAGTGTCCTTTTAGGGGCCCCTGAAAACCTTATGCTTAGATTTCTAAAAATCTTGAATACCCTGAATGTCATCTTTCCTACAGTTATCTTAGTTAGACCAACCGTGATTAAAACTGTGGGTTGATACAGTCGGCAATATGCGTATAGTAATGGTTGAATTAATATTTTCTTACTTTATACAGAAAAAAAGGATAATGAATAAAGTATATTCTTCGGTGTTCTCCTGGGAAAACGTATATCCATCAAGGAAAAACTACACCCATTGTTTCCAAAACCTATTTAATAGTGCTCCTATGGGGAAAATCTGATGCTGGAGATCCATGAGGACGTCCATTGTCAGATAACGGACCAAAAGTTAGTTTGGAGTCTGGAAGCCCTCTAGTGGCTGTCTGTTAGAAAGCATTGAGAATTCTTTCCTATGGACTGGCTAAATGCGCGAGTGGCTCTTGCCGCACATGCGCATTCAGCTGATGATGGGGAAAGGAGGCAGAGAGTCCCCACCATCGAGGGAGCCTGGTGGTGGAGAAAAGGTGAGTGTTTAACCCCTTCCTCATCCTAGAGCCCGGCGGGAGGGGGACCCTAAGGGTGGGGGGGACCTAGAGACCCTATAGTGCCAGGAAAATGAGTATGTTTTCCTGGCACTATAGTGGTCCTTTAATGAAAAAAAGCTCAGGTAAAATCAAACAAACCATAAGGGTAAATAAATGGGCCAATCACTGTACTCTAAAATATATACCCATTATAAATATTATGTCCATATTTTGCTGTATACTGATACGTGCATTTCCCTGCCCCCCCCCACTCTTTTGGTCACTTCTTATTTGAATAAAATCAACATTTATTTCCTTAACCATTAATTCTATTTTTTTCCAATCAATACTGTCTTTTTTGGTTCTACTGATGGAATTATGAATCACGAAGCCCAGTGAATATGCTTGGCCATCTCTCGATTTCGTCTCGTTCATTTCGGATCAGAGTTTGCGAATTCATCCGACTGGCCCAAATTCAGACAAATCGCAGTTTGTAATGAAACAAATCTAAAACACTCCTTGGTCTAATGATACCTTATTCCAACTACTCTGAGATCTGCAGTAATTCCATCCATAATGTGTATACATATACTGTAGCAATGCATGTGTTGGGTAATCAGGTATTACACCCCCAAACAGCAGAACGAATAGGGTCTATAGACACGTAGTCATGACTTATTTGCACGCAGCCTTTTTGGACAATGACAAACCTGCTAGGTGATTGAATAGCTGGAGGACCTTTGTATCTAAGAAGCTGTAACCCCTGCTGATGTAGCATTTTGTTCTACTCTGAGCTGTTCTGTTATCCCAGTTTCTCCCTGTAGATGGGGCTGGTTTCTACTGGGAGAAAAAAGAAAAGGGGAGGTGTGGCAGGAGAAAGACAGAGGGGGAAAAAGGAGGAGGGAGTCAGGGAGGGAGTGAGAGAATCTGGTACATAATCTGTCTGTGTATGCAGAAGGGCAGAAAGAATGGAGGGGTGAGAGGGAGGCATGGGGCGTGCAAAGGCTTCAGGGATGCCTGCTGGGGGGCCCTATGGCTCCCTGGTGGTCCTGCTGATGCTGTGGTGCCTGGGGACCCATGGGAAGTCACTGGTGGATACCTCAATGCCTCAGGGTAAGTGGAGAGGATGCAAGACAATGAAATGGGTGGTAGTTGGGGCAGAGCACAGTGTCTCAGCCATACAGTGTGTGGGGACTTGACATTGGAGGGTAGTAGCTGTGTGTATCCAGGGGAGAAACACTGTATCACTGTCAGATCTATTGTTAAAGAATTGTGTTCTGTGGATGGAATCTCAGGGATCCTGGATATAAGGGCGGTTCTGATTTCTGATAAAGAGTACTTTCTGTTTTCTGATTGGTGGGGATCTGTATCAGGTTGGGGTGTCATTCTGAAGGGTTCTGGGGGGGAAGGGGGAAGCTCCATTCTAAACTATGGAGGAGGGGGTCACATGTAACGTTGGCATATTATCCTCTTGGGTAAGGGGTCTGCCTATCTAGTTTGTGCTTTGTTTGGGTATACTGTGGTGTTTTGGGGTTCTCTCTACCGGGTGGGTCTGTGATGGATCCCAGTAATGAGGCTCTGTAATTTGAGTTATTAATATATTGGGAAATCCCTATTTTCATTCTGCAGTGGATTCCAATTTAGGGGAAGGAGGGGGTGATTAGAAGCTATAGAATCCCTTGTTTTACAATGAAATATTCTCTCATTTTTGGGGTGATCTGATTGGGAGCCAGCCATCCCTTTTCTCCTGATGGCTCTGTGTTTGTTTATGTTTATTAATGTATGCTGCTATGGGTGGTCTGTCTGTTGCTGTGATGGGGGCTTGATTTCTGAGATGTGGCACTCTGTGCCATGTGCTGTTTGAAGGATGACACTTGGAGCTGTGAAAAGGGCTTATTCCAAATCCAATTTAGAAAAGGTCTGTTTTATTAGGTATGTGCTGTTTGCTGTCTCTGCTCACCAACATCCCTCCTGGGAACCCCTGTGATGTATTTTATTTATTTATTAGTGTCTCTCAGCTGTCTCTGCTCACAGCTGTCTCTAGGGGGTGGAGAAGGACTGTCTGTGTTGCTGGGTTAGCTGGCTGATGGCAGCTGATCATGTTTTGGAGGGTCTCTGAGAGTTAGCTGTCTGTGTCACTCTTGCAGTGTGTCAGAAGAGACAGGTAACTTACAGACAGGCAATTAAAGTGACAGCTAGCATTGAACATGACTTTGAAACCCTCAAGGCTCATTAATCAGTGTAAAAATGAGAGTAACTGTGGTGCCAAGTCACCAACTTTGCACAAGAATTACTGCAGTTTTGCCCTGTCAAATATGGCTTTAGGTGTCTCTTCAAATCAAATAGACTGCACATAGCACACTTATTCAACCGAATAGCCATATAATACTATTAGCCAGCAAGGGATTATGGGAGTTGAATTCCAGCAACATCCTCAGAGTTGGGATTGGACACCCAAGCCGTAACTTGTGCTTTCTTAATGTGGACTGGAAGTGGATCGGTTTTAAAGTTGAAAAACAAACATTTGGAATTAATACACTGTGCCAGCCAAATTATTATTAAAAAAATAAAATAAAAAGGTTTTTTAGCTCCTGTGGCAAATATGTTGCACCAGGAATGCACCATCACCCAAAATGTGTTGTGCGTGACTGATTATGCAATTTGTTGTGGTATAAAGTGTGTTTTTTTTTCTTTAAAGAGCCACTCCCCGCAAATTTAAGCAGCAATAAACACAGCACATTATCTGTACATTAGCGGATGGTTTCATTAACAAAATGTATCAAAGAAATACTGTCTACATTCATTCATCATAAACCAGCCTTCAACGCCCCTCTCTGTTTCTAAGGTCCCTTTAAGGCACAGGGTATCCTAAGCTGGGGGACTGGGGGCAGGATCAGCCGTTACTGAACTGCCCATTCTTCCTGTCACAATAATTACAGGATAAACATTTACCAGTGTGACGTAACCATATGTTCTTTGTATGATACAGTGTTTGGTACTCAGAACTTCCATCTCAAATTCTGTCTGCATTCTCTTACAGAACCAAATTTTTAGCCCCTCCCCTTCATTTAATGTCACACTGTGAAGCTACGTCACCACGCACCACATTCAAGTCTCCTCTTATAGATTTTATGTCATGGTGAAGCTATTTGGTAAGCTGCAGATTCTGGTTTTATTCATGTGTTTTCAGGAATTAAAATACTGCCTAATGCCAAACTACATATCCCATAATCCACTGCCGGGTCGGAGTTTATACGATAAGCTATAGGGGGATCTTAGGGAGCTGCCTAGAGACCAGGGGTTAGAATGGGTCCCATAACCATGGATTTGCTTGGGTCCATTTACCAACCCTGTGTGAAGAATGATGGACCTTCCTTGGGCCTTGTGGGATGTCAATCATTCTCTAAACCCAGAGGGCTAGGATTAACTGAGAATTAGCAGTCACTTCCTAGTTCCAGGGGAAACTGTAGCTTTTCAGCAAAAAATTTTAATTTAGAGGTTAGCATATTTTATCCTTTTTTTTTTTTTTATAGGAACATTCTAAGCATCATAACCAACCAATACAACATGCTTTAGAGGTTATGGTGCCAGGCGTGTTCCGATAAGAAAAGATCAAATATGCTAAACTCAAAATTTTTAACTTTTGCTGAAAATCAATTGTAACCATATTGTAAGTAGTCAGACCCTTTTATATTGGTTTAAATTCTTCCCAGGGTTCCACCAGGTTCTGTTCTTCATTCGATTACGGCTCATTGCCTGAGGTTTATCAGCTGCTGCTCTCGGCCAATGAGGACTTGGCTCAGGAGAGCTAACGTAACCAGGAGGCCTCAAATGGTTTGACTACATACAGTTGGGGCGCCAGGGAAATAGTAGGATCTAGCTCAGGGTCTTCATTACCTGATTATGTGTAATATTAATTTTATTTGTAACCCCACTATTAGGTTTATCATTACTGTCTTTGTTTTTTTATTTATAAATAATTATCATGGTAACACCATCCTATTGGAACCCTGGGTAAACTCTATAGTGGGAGAGATAATGAGATCTAAAGTGGATACAATCTCGAAACCTGAAGTCGATCCTTTGGACAGAGCTTGCAGTAAAAAAATCCATGAATCATAGAAACATAGAATGTGACGGCAGATAAGAACCATTCGGCCCATCTAGTCTGCCCAATTTTCTAAATACTTTCATTAGTCCTTGGCCTTATCTTATAGTTAGGATAGCCTTATGCCTATCCCACGCATTCTTAAACTCCCTCTACCACTTCAGCTGGAAGGCTATTCCATGCATCCACTACCCTCTCAGTAAAGTAATACTTCCTGATATATATATTTTTTTAATTCTTTATTTTGTCAATGACATGGACTGTGTATTTTCAATACTTTACGGCTTATGCAAAAGCCACGTTTCAGTAAATATAACATTGTATGAATGGTACAGAAAGGAAAAGTGTGTAGCTAATACATGCAACACGTCATACAATGGTGTTTGGCTTGTTCACAGTCTGTCAAGTTTTTTTTATTTTTTTTTATACAATGGCATTCTGGCTTAATCATAGCCCTGCCAACATTTACCGTTCCACAGTTAGTACAGCAGACCGATGGTCTATGATGACAGAAGAAATTATATACAGTGGATTTACAGAATTCTAACAGTTGGCAGCGCGATGCGCCTGCAGTTTGCAAGGATTACTGAAAGGGCCAACAGCCGTGCTTAGCTTAAACTGTGCCACTCTCACCGTCCGCCAGGTGTTTATAACGTGTAACTTGAGAGGGAAAGTGAGAAGTGAGAGAGTATAGCAAAGTAACGTCAAACGGAAGAAACAGGAACAGAAGAAGATAGTCGATCTCCAAAGGAGCCAAGTCCAGGATCTGCTGTATCGTAAGCAGTGAGTCAACGTAAGCTGGTATCCTGTCCCTTAGCCTGACCAGAAACCCTTCTGGTGGAGGTGCTGCTGCCTTCCTTTGGGGTTCTGGAACATCTCTTTGTATATATGTTTCCCAGAAGTAGTATGGTAGATAACTGGTTAGATTGCGTCGCCAGAGCGTGTCCTCCTCCATCCCCGCACTTCTTCATCCCCTCTCTCCACTCCCGTTCTCAGTGATACTTTAAGTGTCGCATTATTCCTAGAGGTCCCATACCTTATTGAAGGTATTCAGTGTGTTTCGGACTTGCGCTGTTAGTTTGTCCGTAAGGTAGTTGTCCCTGAGTTTTGCTGTGACCAGGGCTATTTGGGGGATTTCTGAACAAGACCATTTTTGTGCCAGTGCTCTACGGACCGCTAGGCATGTTAAGGAGTTTCTGTTCGTGTTTGGTCAGGCCTTGCGTGGGTCTAGACAGCAGGCATGCCCAAGGTTCCAAAGTTATTTTCCTCTGTTGGATCTGAATAGTGTTTTATATGACTGTTCTTGGGGCGTTACACATATTGTTGTTTTTGCAAACGCCTCCCAGATCTCTTGCCAATCTGTGCCCTCCAACACCTCACTAGATCGGTCTCCCATTCGTCTGCATAGCGTAGTGCCCCTTCTTTATCCATTGCTGTGCTAATGTGGTTGTAAAGTAATGTAAGTAGTTTGGTTTGTGAGGTCCTGATATTATTTTTAAACCTTTGCCCCTCTAATTTAAGACTATGCCCTCTTGTAGTGGTAGTTTTTCTTCTTTTAATAGTTTTTTTATACTTGCTATACGTTTTTCAGCAAATGTACTTTCAGATTTAAGTCACAATAGCCACAGGCTTTGGGGTCATCAATGGTGATAAGGCCTCTTGAGGGGTAGGCAAACTTCGGCACTCCAGATGTTGTGGACTATGGCTTTATGAGCATTATGGGAGATGTAGTCCAAGACATCTTGAGTACGAAGGTTGCCTAACCCTGCCCTAGACAGTGTCCCCTCTTGCCCTCTGTTACAGCTCTGAGTGTTCGCGGTCTCTGTGAGGTTTAAGCTTTTCTGTCTGGCTCGTAGACTTAAAATAGTTCCATTGTGTCTTAACCAGAAGCTTTACCTTATATTGTGTAATTCAACAAAATGCAGGAAGGAACTATATTGCAGAGTGAGATTAGGACCAAAAGAGATCAGCACTGATGGTAAAGATAATCGGACTCACGTGATAGAGTCACTTAAATAAAAGAGTAGTGGATATGTGGAACTCCCTCCCAGATTAGAAAAAATTCTGTCTGTGTGTCATCTACACCTAAATTAAAATTTGCATCAGGACACACAGGCGGTCGAGTAATGATGTTTAATGTTTTAGCGGAGATGGAGATTTTTTTCAAACCGACTATTTTTGGCTTAGATTTGCAATTCCCGGGTCAATTTCCGATTTATTGAATAACTCTGTGGCACTTAGTCACTGAACAGTGATTATAGTGAACTGAAACTCTTAAAAAACGAAGGTCAAAATAGCTGATTTGGAAAAATTCTCCAACGTAGCTATAACAGCTCGACAATTTTAGCTAGAATTTTGCAATTTGTTTCTTGAAATTACCGCGTAGTAAATAAACCATGTGAGATTTTTCTAACTCCGTTAAATTCACCATTAAAGCAACCTTATTACTAGCTAATAGAAAACACAAGTATTATTATTATACTTATAATTATTAGTATTTAATTGATTATTTAATATTATTTTTTTTATTACTATTTAATTATATTATTATTCACGAGCCTTCTACTTTCCATTATAATATTCTATATCTATGATATATTAGATACAATAAGGTAAAGTACCCACAGTTTCATGAATAAAATTGTTGTAAATAATTTCAAATGCTACTTAGAAGGGCGTTCGGTACTGCCACAGGAACTTCATGTGATACAATGTAATAATGGCTGGGAAGACTGTCATTGACCTACTTCTTTATTCATACTAACTGCGTCCCGCGTCGTCAGTTTGTCTGTTATTATCATTCGCCTCGGATGTGGGATTTCCCCAGATTAAATTTTTTGGGGGGGATATTGTAAGTTTTCTTCTGATCAAATGTAAAGATTTGAAAATTCAGGACTGTCCCCAAAAAATCAGGACTCATGGTTGCTGTATGTAAAGTCATCAGCTTGGTGTGTTCGCTGGTGTGGATTGCAGAGGATGACTAGCTGCGCATCATCAATGTTGCAGTGTACAGTGAAAGAACGTGATCGCACCAGTCTATTGAAACCTAAATGAGAGGTTTATATTAATACACCTACCTAAATCACCCAGTTTTACTAAATCAATTCTCTCCAACTGCCCCTACTGTGGTGACGGCACACACAATTCATTCTGTGTGTCCTTATCTGATAATGAAGTGTGATTTTTGCTGGGTGTAGGTAAATCTCACCGATTCTTGGGGGTTTATGTTGATGTCTGTTTACGACGAGTGACACATGTCACATAGAATGATCATTTAGCAAGCTAACGTCTTCTGTTGTCTCTCCTGTGTGCCTTGATGGTACAGCGCAGTCTGATTTGCTGTCTCAGTCACACAGCAGTCTATCTTTTCTTATTGTTTTAATATTATTAATTATTTTATATTTTTGGAAGATTTAGGTTTCCCCCCCCCCCAAGAAAACCTATTGTCTTTTGTCTCCCCCCCCCCATTACTTCTCCACTGCAACTGTCTCATTCTGTTGTATCCTTCCTTCCCCTGTCCCTCCCACCTATGTCTGACTTTCCTCTGTCCCTCGATTCTCCATCTCTCCCTCTCTCTCACAGTTCTCTGTCTGTCTGTACGTCTACAGATAGACCATCCCAATTCTCTGCTGCAGATTGTCCTTCCTTCCTGTGACTCTTATTGTCCTCCATCCTCTCCCCTACTGACTCAATCTTGTATTATTTCAGTTTAAACAGCGTTCGGAGTAGGGCCTCTTCGTCCTCCCTGGCTACACGTTTTTCGTGTATAACCTTCATTGATTCCCCATAGCATCGTATTCATGTTATGTTCGTCTGATCGTCTTACACCTTCCTTCCTTAGTATCTTTTCCGAGTAGCACTGTGTTCTTCATCATTTCTTCATTTCTCGTGTTTCTTCTGTGTCTCTCCCCCCAGCCCCCCTCCTGTTTTCCCTCCATTCATTCCCTTTCCCACCCTGTTACCTCTGAATATACCCCTCTCTGAGAGCTAGGAGGAAATGAATGAGGTCGTTTCCAAGACAACAGCAACTCTATGATCTCATCTTCTGTCCAGTGAAAGCCCGGAGGCTCTATCCTAAGACATAACAGCCATTCACACTAACATATCGGCTCCTTGTTCTAGAGGAATGTAGACTGAGACACGGAGTCATATGGAATCCCTAACATTGGAATCTTATACAATAGCTGTAATTAGAGGCTTATACACTATATGGAACAGTAATGGAGTAATAGGAGGAGTTATAGGGAGAGGTTATATGGAGTAATAGGAGGAGTTATAGAGAGAGGTTATATGGAGTAATAGGAGGA